TTTTTTTTTTTTTTATAATATTTAAATATTATTTTATAATGTTTACTGTTTTTAACCAAAGTGTTACATAAGGTGTGGCTATTTTAATTCTGATGCCAGACTTTCATACATTTCACATTTCACTCACTCACTTCATTCGGTGATATAAAATTATTTATGTTGTGATAGAAGATTCAGATCATTCTTTAACTAATTATATGTCTACATTTGCTAATATTAATTTGGTCAGGAATACTAGTTAAACCCCAAAATGTTTTTTGTTTACCACAAGATGCCAAAATGTTGCTATTGTTATCACTGTAACAACCATAATGAGTTCAAAAGAGTTCATGTGACTCCTCAAGCAATGCTGTCGTCACTCCCAAAATTTTATTTGTTACTGTGTCTATAAAACTCATTTATTCTAAAGGGAAAAGCTGATGTCATAAGCTTCATAAGTCTTTAACAGATTAAACTATAGTTTTAGTATATTTCTGTAAAAGGCTTGTCGTAATATGCACTGGTTTACATTTTACATTAAGACAACGTCAATCAGTGCAGCATCAGATCTCTCATAGAGCAAATCCTTCCATGCAGGCCCTCTCTATTCCTGACACCAATGCTTAACAGCATCAAAGGTGCCACGGAATAAAGAACACATGACGGTTAAACACAACTATTTACAGTACACCAATAACTTCCCCCTATACAAAGGAGCCCCCAAACATTTCCGTCACCTTCCAATCCACATAAAACTGTTGTAAATTTACAGCTGTACTGCATTTGTCCAAAGTGAAAGAAAATAACTACTCAAGTTGCATGAAAACACAGGAAACATGGTTTTACAAGTCACAGTGAGCTGTTAGCTCTTCCTGGAAGTGCGCTACGGTCTGTTACACGCAGAATGCATCTGAGCCCACAAATAAAAGCCCCCTTCTGCTTTCAGTCTATAAACCCGTCATTTGATAAAACGACAGTTGCCCCAGTAAATGCACCTTACCTCGTTGTAGAAGAAGTGCACTGTATGGTTGTTGAGTTTCAGAGACAACGTTTTCAAAAAGGAGATATAGTAGGCCATAATTTCCTCATCAGAGAAGTCAAATTTATGTACAATGATAGAATTAACGTGATTATTGGACAGCAAATAATCTAGAAAAGGAAAATAACAACATGTTTTATGTTCAGGCCATAAACATAAAATTAAAAAACATCAAATTTGAACTTTATCCAGGGGTTTACTCACAGAGAGAAGTCTCATGACTGATGTTCTCAAAAAGGATGTTGAGCGTTTGCAGAAGCTGGACACACACATACCGTCCGGATTTCTGCCGTAGTATGTTGAGGAAAAATGCAAACATGTTCTTCTCCAAAAAGAAGCTACAGAGAGAGAGAATGATGTTTTCGGTCATTAAAAACATGGTTTTCAGTCATTCTTGAGACATGGGACAAAACAGGTCCAGCAAGGGTAAAATATTTTCAAATATTTTCAATTTTAAATGTCATGAGGGATTAATAATAGAATGTATTTAACACAATTATCACCTTCAATTTAATTTTCTCATTATTATACCAAATCTATGTTTCTTAATGTCCTCTCACTACATCTAAAACAGTGTGTCCACAGAGAAGGGTTCAAGCATTCATATGCAATAAAATGGATATAAATGTTTGTTTTTTTAAATGATGAAAAAGAGCTTGTTTTATCAAAAGCAACACTTAATATCTCCTATCAAAGCAAGGCTGTTTTTTAATGACACATGCACGTTTCATAAGATTTTAAAGTTGCGTCCCCACGTTTTGTCAACACCGTCAGACATTCAATAAAATGTAATAAAATCAGGGAATATCAGGGGTAGCTGTCACTCTAAAGGACCCCCTTGCCACAGTTCACCTCTGCAGAGTGCATCAGTGTCAGACAGGCTCTGCTACGTTTTATGGTTTTAGAATATTTTAAATCCTAATGTTAATATTTCCTGTGTCACAGCCATGATATGTCAACACCATCTTCCAATTTCTGAGGAAATTATTTGAAATATTTAGATAATTTTCTTTTCCTGAAGCAGGTTCCATTAGCATCTAGCAGCAACAGAACAAAATAAAATGGCTACTACATGAACTCCATTGGTTTTGTGAAAGAAATGCCAAATTTGTCAACACCGTCAGATGTCACCACCATAAGATTTTGTGTTCCAGTGATATATCAAAATACTTAAATGTGACTCTTGAATAAAAGCTTTATAAACAATAACATACTCACTGTTTGTTTTAATGCAGTAATTGACTGATTCAATGTATTTGATAGTTAAAATGACTACAAATCCAGGTCTTCGTCACCACCGTCAGATGTGTCAACTCCGTCAGTTCGGTCACCTCCGTCAGTTGAATATTTTGATAATATTTCTTTATGATATTTTATATTTGTTGTGGAATTATTGGTCACATGTGAAAGTGTAATCTGTCTGCTAACACGAGAATGTGTTTTGAAATGTTAAAAACATCTTGAATGCTGTTAAAGATAAAGCTGAAATTATATTACACAGTCCAAGCTAAAAAAAATCATTTTTTAAAATTTTGTTAAAAAAGAGAAAAGTTGGGAGGTTGTATCCAAGCATAGCTCAGTAGCTTAGTACATCTAAGATACATAAATGTAGTTTCATTTGTGTGAGTACAAGGTTTTATTTTTTTCAATTTTGCACCCTGTTTTGTCCCACTTTTCAAGAATGACTGTTTAGCATTTTATTGCAAATCTAACATGTGGAAACACTGTCAAAATTGAAGGTGAAACTCACTCAAAGACAGAGCTGTCATTCTGATCACCCCAGATAAGAATCTCAGTAATAGAGCGAATAGTTTCCACCAGCAGATTTCTGTTGTGATCAGTCACTGTTGTGTTCTTTGTTAGGACGTGGTACATGTACCTAAAAATTACAATAAAAAAACACTACTTAAATGACACAATACATTTCATATTATGAGCACAACGTATATATTTTAATGCTTTAATAACGTATATTAAATGCTTTCATTATTAGAAAATAATGTAAGTGACATATTTAAGGCACTAACCCAGCATTTCATCCAACCCTATGTTAACTAAGGCGGTGTGAGTAACATTAATGTTTACATTTCTAAAACTGACTAATGGCGACTTTCCACATTAATGACAAACACCGACTGAATTTAAAAACGCTTTAACTGCACGAGCTGAGCTGGCTAACGTTAGCGAATTAGCTGCAAAAAGTCTGTAAAGGCTTACTTCAAATGGTCCAAAGAATGAATGTTTTTGGACTTCCCCTGTCCTCCGACCCAGCTCCTTGAACGGCCGAACATTTTTCGGGTGTTCTATTTCGCAATATGTATGTTCTTAACACAATTTGCTAGGCGAATTGACCCATATCCGCTGCAGTGAAGGCCTAGAATATTCACATGAAAACATACCTGTCGTCCTATCGCTCATGACAGCCCAAACCTCAGCTTTAAGTCATTATGGGATATGTAGTTTATTACGGAAGTTGTTATAGTGAGTTCGCACCAAGTCACCCCACCATTACGGACTCAATTTCCCAGAGTTCCGTGCGAATGCAACGGGTTTCGGTGAAGTCATGAGAAAGCGCCGTTTGTTTTTGTTCTTCACGCGTTATAAAGCTCCGCCGAGCCTTCGGATGATTTTTATTTATGCATTTTCCGCACCGCCAGGCTTTTAAGAGCGACACGGGATAGTCCTAAAGAGCAGCGCGTAGCCTTGGAACATTCAAACATGCAATTCTTCACTAACTTGTTTGCTGTATAGTGGAACCATACTTTCGTATGTTTCAACGGCTTGCAGGGGAAATAACGTTACTGCTGAAAAGGGAGTTGCATCGCTTCGTGTTTAGAGTCAAATGGATAGATTCACACTTCCAAACTGACCTGTTTGATATAAAGGGTGGTAACTTAAATGTTTTTAATTCGCTCAGTCTGCTCAATGAGACTGAAACATATGTTTTGGAGTCTATGACACACTCAATTTACTCTCGGTTAGATTCAGTGGAATCGCTAATCAACGAGCTTCCATATATGTTTTATCTCGGCCTGTTTTTTGTTAATGTCTTAATTCTCTACTATGCCTTCTTAATGGAATATATAGTCCTTAATGTAGGAATAGTATTCTTGCCAGAGGATATGGACCAGGCACTGGTGGATTTGGGTGTACTTTCTGACCCAGCCTCAATTCCATATGGCACAGACGCTGAGCTGGATGTTTTTGAGGGTTATCTGGAATAAACAAACCATGATTGACACTTCCAGCCGAAGCCTTTGTGGGGAAGATGCCATTTGGCTGGTTCATTTGGTTACTGGAGAACCATTGTCAAAGCGAACTACATATGATATCTGCAGACATAAAAGAATGCTGCAAAAGTGGTCAACCTATAAAAAAGTGACTTGCATGAATAAAGTAAGTAGTTTTTAAATGATGATTCATACTCCAAGAATATATGTGCATTGAGTATTGTGTCTCCACAGGACTTCCAGGTTCAGAGGACTGACCTGCAAGCAAGCCATCGTGCCACATGGAATATTTACCTGGAACATACAAGCCGAACTGCCTTTGTGGTTTTCGATGGAACAGCCAGCCAGTGTCTCTTCAGAGATCAAATTCAGGCACTAACCACTACTTTGTGGAAAAAATATTACATTAGCCTATTTATTTTTAGTTTGGCATTCAGTACTCATGCAGGATTCTGTGTCAGCCCTGCAAGGGATTGTTATTACTCTATAGGCAGAACCCTTATACGTGGTCAGCCTCGGCATGTTGTCGTTCCCTTTAATATTATTTAAATGAGCAATATGTCATGAGACAAACCGGTGTTCTAAGTTTTTCCTGAAAGTCTCTCTTAGGAACCGCATATTTGTGACAGCCTGAGAAAGAAATATTTGTCTGAGGTTCACTTTGTGTTGTCATATTTGACTTTCAAAAATCTGGTGCATTATTTTAGAAACTTTGTGTGTAACATCTGACTTCTCTGGTCTAAATGAGATCCTATGAAATAACAATTGTTTGCTAAAAAGATAAAGGTCATCGACCAAGATCTAGTTTAAAACACATGTCAGTTTCAGAAATGTGCTGTTTATAATTGTTAGTTTCATATGGTTTTGAAAAACATATATGCCATTTTTAAGAAAGGTTTCAGTTTAGTGACTCATGTGGTGTGTTCATCAATTAAAAAGTAATGCACATATTACATATTCTAGCTTATTTAAGCATATATATGTACAGTAATTATTTTATGAATATCATTGTGGGGGATTATACATACAGTGCCCTCCACTAATATTGGCATCCTTGGTAAATATGAGCAAAGGCAGCTGTGAAAATAAATCTGCATTGTTTTTCTTTTTGATCTTTAAAAAAATTCACAGAATTCTAACCTTTCATTGAAGTAAAACAAAGGAAAGTAGGGGGAAACACACATTATGAAATAAATGTTTTTTTTCCAATGCATGTTTGGCCACAATTATTGGCACCCCTAGAAATTCTTATGAGTAAAATATCTCTGAAGTATTTTCCCATTCATATTTACATTTTTTTTAGAACACCAGGCATGACTGAGGAACACAAAGGTCAAATTCCCTTAATCATCTATCACAAGGAGTAAAACCGAAGAATATAGTTCTGATGTGCAGAACAAGATTGTTGAGCTGCACAAAATAGAAAGTGGCTATAAGTAAATAACTAAAGCATTGAAAATCCCCATTTCCACCATCATGGTTATAATTAAGAAGTTCCAATCAACTAAAGATGTTACAAATCTACATGGAAACGGATATGTGCCTATATCTTCCTAATGCACATTGAGGAGGAGAGTTTGAGTAGCCAAAGACTCTCCAAGGATCACAGCTGGAGAATTGCAGAGATTAGTTGAGCCTTGGGGTCAGAAAGCCTACAATATAATATATATAGAATATAAGAACATGCTTATCATAGAAGAGCTGAGAGGTGTATTCAAGTCATTGTATGTAATGTATGCATTTGATTTTATTGACATATTTATTCAGCCGCTGAAAACCGTAACTGAACAGATAATGCAGCAGTATTAACTAATGTTTAAGTCAAATTACGAATTATAGAAGCAGCTAAACGTTGATGTATCTGACATCTGAAACCCACAATCAGCAAAGCAGACTCATAGAACTTGTGTTTATTGTTAAATACCGTATAAAAATTACATCTAGTGCTGAGGAAGAGAATATTCACAAAAGTGTCAGAAAGTGCAAGTCAGTCATATCAGTCACATATTTTAAAGCAGTTTAGTGTCTTTGTTGACAAATGTTGATGAACTATTGAATTTTATGGGGAAATATGATTTTATATATATATACTAACTGTATATATAAAAAACTGTAACAGCATCCAATATGTGGCCATTTTTAAAGGGGTCATATGATGCGATTTCAAGTTTTCCTTTCTCTTTGGAGTGTTACAAGCTGATTGTGAATAGATAAGATCCCTAAAGTTGCAAAGACGAAAGTCTCAAACTCAAAGAGATATTCTTCATAAAAGTTAAGACTGATCCACGCCCTCCTAAAATGCCCTCCTTAAATGCCCTCCTTAAACACACTCCCACATGTCTACGTCACGATGTGGGAAGATTTGCATAACGCCGCCCAAATGTTCATGCAAAGAAAGAAGGCGTAACTTTATTGTTGCTGCCGCCGCCATGTTGTGAAGATGCTGTGTGTTTTGTTGTGAAAGCGAAAATGCTGTTTGGCCTTCCAAAAGAGGACACGACTAGAAATCAGTGGTTAAGTTGTATTTACAACACTGTTCCAGAACACTTCAACCCAAATATTCAGATGTGTGCAGCACATTTTATGGAGGACTGTGTCCTGAACCTGGAAGAGTAGCGTACAATGCCGGCTGTTCTGACTCACAGTCTGTAAATACGTTTTCATATTTAAAGGATTTGCCACTGATGATTCAAACGCGATGAAGAGTAGTGCGTTTCTCCGATCACAAATGCAGACATTTGTTTTATGTTTACGTGGCTCGATGCAACACAACACATAAAAAGACAGCATAAGTCATTATAATCCATAATTATGTCCCCACTAAATGCAATAAATGCCTCGTTTATAATGGGTTTTATTGGTTTTGTCTCGTCGCTCCGGGACACGGCATCACAATATGGTGAGGGGCGTAACATTTCCATCACACGGAAGTGTATTGAGGTATTCGGCCAATTACAACACACTGGATAGCTGGCCAATCACAGCACACGTTGAGCTTTGAGAGACGATGAGTTTTGTAAAAATCGACGCGTTTCAGAAAGGCGAGGCATAGAGGAGAAACAATAATGTACAGTATGTGGGAACTAATGTGTTTTTTTAACCTTAAACCGCATAAACACATTTAATTACACCAAATACAAAAAATAATGTTCTTTTTAGCAACATCATATGACCCCTTTAAATGTCAAAATGCGTTAAAGTGATCTTATCCGTGGCTCTTGAAGACGGAGGTGTTCAAAAACTCCATATGGAATGCAGTCATTCCACAGCCTAATGAGGAAGAAGGAAAACAAGAACATTTGCATATCAGGAAAAGTTGTCAATGCATAATCTAATAATAATCATCACTTCTTTCTGTCCACCTGACTGTATTGGCAAACAGTAGATTTGCGAGATCTCTTATTTTCTGTGTTTAAACTAGCTCAAATGTTGTTCTCAGTCTTGAAATGCTAGTATCTGATACCTAATTACAAGAAAAAGTTATCCAAGTAAAAGCTAATGTGCTTGCCTCGGACCACTACATTACGTGAAGTCCAAAAGGATGGTAAATGCTTTTTTTTTTTAAATATTAGATACTCACTCCAGAGACTTCATTCCTGTGCAGTTTTTCAGAGCAGCACTGAGCTTTGTAGCTCCAATGTCTGTGAACTTGTTGAACTTAACACTGAAAGTAAATTACAAGAAATGCATAGATATAATATATTTCTTGCATTTAAAAAACAAAACAAAAAAGCAATCATTAAAAGAGAATTGAACAGAAACTTTGTCAAACGTTTGTCAAAATGACTAAGATACTAAAATTAAATGAAATAAATTTCCTTGTTATATAAATCTTTAAAGATTTAACATGATTTGAATAAATACTTACTCCAAGTCCTGCAGGAAGTTCATGTCTGGTAAAACCAAGGCCAGATTTTCAGCTCCACTGTCAGAAATTACATTTCCATAGAGGCTAGAAGTGAGGAAATTGGAAAAAAGTCTTATATAAACACTTCCAAAAATCACATTTGACTTAGTGATGGTAAATATTTTTCAGAGGGTGTCTGTACCTGAGGCTCTGTAGAGAAGGGACTGATGGCAAAGCTTTAGCCAGTTTCTCCACTCCAGCATCTCCAATGAGGTTTTGAGACAGACTGTATGGTGAGAACATTGGACAGTTCAGTTGTGACACAGTTGTTTCTTTACAAGTTGAAATTACTTTGGACAACACAGTTTTCCAGAGACTAATAAGCACCCATGTGTGATATTTAAGTGGATAAATGTTTCAAAACTTACTTTAGCAATTTCAGACATTCCAAAAAATGTAAAACGCCAGCAAGCTTCTCAGCGCCAGAGTCTCCTATTTGGTTTTTCTCAAGGCTGAAAGACAAACAAAGAATCAAGAACATTTTTAAATCTTAAAACACTAAAGGACATGTTTTACACCCCCCCCCCCCCCCCCCCCCCCCACAACCCAATACATTACATCTTTTTTTGAAGCTCAAAAGCTTCAGTTTCCCTTCACTGTAATTGCATGGGAATAAAAAAAAAGTCTTAAATTATCCAATTTTTGTATTTCAAAGATGTTAGGGTGATTAAATGATGACAGAATTTTCATTTTTAGGTGAACTATTCATTGAGCAATGCATTTTGACAACTTCTCACCAGAATGATTTGATACATTTGAGTCCCACAAGCTCTTTGAGGCCACAGATGGGAATACATGTATCTTGCAGGTTAATGGAGAAGGTCCGCTTCAATGCGCTGGCTTGTTGAAGGAGATGGCATATAACATACACGTCCGTCTTAAATTATCCAATTTTTGTATTTCAAAGATGTTAGGGTGATTAAATGATGACAGAATTTTAATTTTTAGGTGAACTATTCATTGATCAATGCATTTTGACAACTTCTCACCAGAATGATTTGATACATTTGAGTCCCACAAGCTCTTTGAGGCCACAGATGGGAATACATGTATCTTGCAGGTTAATGGAGAAGGTCCGCTTCAATGCGCTGGCTTGTTGAAGGAGATGGCATATAACATACACGTCCAATGGGCAAAGCTGCGTCCCATAGAATGACAGATTGTCAGGCAGGTTCTTCAACAGCAGTTTGGCAAATTTGGCACTGCTGGTCTCGTAAACACAATGAAGGTTTCAGTAACCGCAGTTAGTGTTGAAGCAGCCATGTCAGGGAGACGTTGGCAGTGCTATGCATTTGAAAAGTAGATGCATTTAGGAATCTTTAAGATCATTTACAACAGAACAGCAATGCATTTTATGGACGACCGATTCGTGAACCTAGGAGAGGAGGGATGTCTGTTTTTTGCTATGATAATCTGGCGCTTCTGAATCAGCTACTGTTTTGTTATTAGTTTAAGTATTTGCTATTGACTGTTCAAATGCAGAGTTTTGCGCATCGTGTGTGTGTGTGTGTGTGAGAGAGAGAGAGAGACAGGGTCACATCACAGTGGAGTCAGCTGTCTTAACCGTGGCTTATGTACTGCAAACACATACCAGCTTCATCACTGTGTCTGTCACGCGACTCTGTTCCCCTTTCGGGCTTGAACTGATGGTAAAACTAATGACATTATTTACTGTCTTTACATTTATTTTGAAAGATGAAGCTCGCGATTATGATAAGGGGCGTTACATTTCCGACGAGTGCTTGCGGTGTTCGGCCAATCACAATGCACTGGGTCAGCTGGCCAATCAGATCAGACTGCGCTTGTCGGAAGGAGGGACTTTGTAGAAAACTAAGCGTTTGAGAGAGGCGGGGCATAGAGGACCTACAATAATGTACAGTATTTGAAAAATAATGTGTTTTTTGAACATTAAAGCATGTCAACATATTCTGTTACACCAAATACACAAAATAATGATCTTTAAAAAAGCATCATATGACCCCTTTAAATTGGTTTCTTACCTGGTGCTTCTGGGCGGATTTTCCTTTCGGTTTTTGGAGGTGTGGAATCATAGTTTTTTTGTGGGTTTCCTTCTGTAATTTGCAAAACAAACAAGCAGTCATTCTGTGACTATTCATTTGTGTTCAGAATTGTTAGTATATGCACAGAACTACGATAAAAATGTAATATGATAACACTTGGTATCTTGTAAAATGCCAAAGTTTCTCTGTTTACAAGGAATATTAATTTTCCTCAAAAAATCAAGCTTGGAGTAAAGCAATCCCAGATTGAATCTGTACTCATGGAAGACAAATCATCCTCTCTACAATTCTATAAGAGTAACTGATATACCAGTCATTTGGTCGATTATTAGGCCAACAGTCCTTTTGAGATCATGCTCATTTAACTGATAAAGTGTTAACTCTCTTATGTCATGTCCGAAATAAATAGACACCTACAGTCAATAGATCATTCACAATTTGTTTAAAACAACTGGTAACACTTTAGTCACCTTATGTGGCTGTCATATTAAGATCAAATAACTGAATCTGAAGGTCAAGGTCATTTTTAAGGTCATTTATGTGGAAGGCATAGGGCCAAGAAATGTTCGTCCAATCAAAATTCCAGGTATTATAGTACTTTTAAAGTGTTCTCACCGGTGACACATGATGTAGCCCAGTGGTTCCCAATTCCAGTCGTCGCGCCCCCCCCCCGCTCTGCATATTTTGCATGTCTCGCTTAGTTAACACACCCGATTCAGATAACCAGCTCGTTAGAAGTGAGCTACGTGCATCTACTGTGTTCCGATCTATATGATCCCTACACCGTGTTTTTTGTTCCCTACTCCCTGAGCAGGGGAAATCCATCAAAGTTTACTTCCCTTTGAACATTCATTCATTTGGATTTGTGCTGCGCAGCGTCTTCACACACAGACGAAACTTACTAGAGAAGTGTGAAATGTGACATAATATACCTCTGTAAATAAATACTATTTAAATTTACGTCTCGCACACTTTAATGCCCTTTGTAATGAACATATACGCTCGCTTCGAACTGAAATCATGGCAGAATATCCGGTGATGTCTACTACGCAGGGCACTTACGGTCGAATAGAACAAACGCACGTGATAAGAGATACATATGAAATGGGCGCGAGGACTGGAATTGGGAATCGCTGATGTAGCCTATTGTAATGTTGTCTCTGGTATTCTGTGAGCGTATATGCATTAAGGGGGTGTGGCTTTGGGCGGCGATTCCAGGGAGGGTGGGACATTCACTTTCAGTGCTATCAAGCTAAAGTTAGCATTTTCCAAGATCTCCTACTGCACCTTTAAGAAAATTATCACCCACCCAACTTTTGATGTCATTTACACAAGCTAGTAAATCAGATAAGGACTTTGACCCAGGTTTTATTGGGATGCATACAGTAATTGGGTGTCAGCTGCATAAATGTGATATGGAACCTTGTGAGATTCATAAATGTAGCAGAGAAGGAGCATGTATGAGACAAATAAAATCGGGACCAAAATGGAGCCCTGAGGCACCCCCACACGTAACATAAGCAGGCAATTAATAAAACTGACCTATCTCTACAGAGAAACTCCTCTTAGTAAAACAGGACACAAACCTCTCTAAGGCTGAATCACAGATACCAACCTCGGTTTTTAAACTGTTTAAAAGAATGCAGTGATCCACTCTATTAAATGCTGCACATAAGTCTACAATACCAAAATTGCATAATTTCCAGGATCCACAAATAGTAAAAAGTAATTTACTACTCTTAACAGGGCTGATTCAGTGCTATGCTTAGCTCTTAAAAGAATCCAGTGTATTATTCCCAATTAAGTAGGGGGATAACTGATTTAAAACAGCCTTCTCTAATACTTTTGATAAAAAATTATATATATATCAATCAACATTATATTGACCTGCTCTCTTTCTAGATGACCATATTGGCCATTTAAAAACCCATTTTGAACAACCTCTACTCTAAATGTGTTCAAAGCTAAATAATAAGTCTTGCACAATCCTGTTTGGATGTGTGTAAGCCTTTGGAATAATGATTAAATGGTGATATTTCCTTTTCTGTTTCATAAGTAATACATTTATGGAATAATTTGCCCGAAAAGTGTAAATCTATGGAGCCCTTTAAGGGACATGCTGATGCTTAAAAAAATAAAAAATAATAAAAGAGAGAGAGATGGGAGGAAAAATTATATTTCAATGCTTTTGCATTGTTCGCTCGCAAAACTTTTGCATTTCCCCTGAAAAACGTTGCATTTGCTTGCAAAACTTTCGTGATAGAAATAATATGAGGTGGGAGGAAAAACTATATTTCAGTGCTTTTGTGAGCGAACGCAAAGCTTCTAGGGGGAACACAATAGTTTTGCAAGAAAACGCAAATGTTTTGCAAACAAACTCAAAAGCATTGAAATATGAATAGAATTTATTCCAAATACAATTTCTCCCATCTCGTACTTATGTCTCCTTAGGGGCTCTGTGCAAATCTGCCATTATCTTTACTACTCTGTCTAATGATGCTAGTGCTGCAGAAATGACATACTTTAACAATGGAGACACTGAAAATAAAAAAAGGTTTTTAAACAGATTCTAAAGTTTGTAGACCTTGTATCCTTAATACATATCTACACTTTGATAAAAACCTAGCACAGACACATATTTGCTGTCATCAAACCCTGAGCTCACCTTTTGTAGGGGAGAGTGTGTCTACAGATACTGGTGGCAAACCCTGGCATGCACTGTCTGAAGATGAGCCAACTGGAAGTACGGAACCAGTGAGCTCTGGCGGGGCAACTGTGCCATCGGCTGGAAGAGGAAGATTTCAGTTAACACACACTACAATATTGCTAATCCTAAAATGCATAATTACTCATGTGACCATCTTCTTTTTAACTTACCAGGTGAAAGAGGAATTATCTGAGTGCCTGGACTCACACATTGCGGCGACACTGCAGATACTGAATGTGAAATTAGAGATACAGTGCACAACATTAAAATAACATGCAGGCATGCAGGCACATGCAGCTGTTTAATGATGCTTTTACAGTGGACTCACCAATCACGTATGTAGGCCCTGTTGGAACCACAGTGCCAATTAGAGGCGCTGTATAAGGGCCGATGGTCTGGATGAATTGTAGTGGTGAACCTCCTGAGAAATTCAAAGACTCATAGTCAGAGGTCAAAGCCAAGGCCTACAGTAGTTTCTTGAAATGCAAATACTGTATGAAAACAGCCACTCACCACTAGAGGGCAGAAGAGGGGGGCTCAAGGGAATGCGCAATACATGCTGGAATGGGTTTGAACTCAGAAGAAAGCTACTCTCAGGGGTAATGTTGGGCGGCCTTCCGTTTGAGGGACTTTTAGGCCACGCTGTTGCTGCAATACAGACATTAGGTTTTCTGTTTTACTTGTGTTTTATTAGACTGACTTAGTCTCAGTCATCACAAATATATTTCCTTCCTTTTTTTAATAAGTAGACAGTTCAAACAACATTTTTTTTTTAGAAATGAATTACTTACAAACAGAAGGAAATATATATATATATATTGTTTAAAACTACTTTTTGGGAGTCAAATAATCCACCAAGGCACTTCTGGTTCCCACCACTAAACCACCTACAATAATTTAGTCAATGTTACATTGTGATGTTTGAATTACCTTTTTTGTTGCGTTTGGATCTGCGGGTTTTGTGTGAAGTTGCATCAACTATTGACAGATAGAAAACACACCTCTTACATACTGAATTCAATGCAGATCTTTTATTAGAGAACATTTAAGAGAAAATAGTATTACCTTTTCGCTTTCTGCTTTGCACTTCATCTGGGAAAGAAGCAGCTTCTGGTATTGGCGTGCAGGTTGTGTCTGTGTCGACTGCTGTTAGCAAAGCAGATGTGAAAGACTTACTATATTTAATTCACTTTATTTGTGAAAAAACAGTGTGACATGCAAATGCACTGATTCCCCTTTAACTTCAAACATGTTAATGTCATATGTGATTCAAGAACTGATTCTATTCCAATTATATTATTTTAAAGAGTCTTACCTGAAAAGTTATCAAAGAATTTGGGATCTGCCAAGACAAAAGGACATGATTTACAGCCTTCATGACATTTAGATGATATTGTTATGCAAAAAATACGGCAATGAGTGAAACTGACCGAAATCTTCTTCAAAAAACTCAAGTGAGTCGAGATATTCTGAGATGACATTGTCTGTGAAAATAGTAACAAAAGGTAAATCTCTCATTTGAAAACTCAAATGCCAAACGCAGTGCTACATTTGTTTACCACGTTAAAACAAGTACTGCGCATCTATTAGGCTACTCACCAGGTAAAAGTTCAGACATTGGGTCTGGGACAATATCTTGCGATTCAGCATCTGTTGTAACACAGTGACACATTATATTGCATTATTTTTATTCAAGACATAAATATGCCACAGGGAAATCTTGTAGTAGGCTATTAATAACCGCTTAATGCGTGGACGCGCACAGTGCTGTGGAGCGCGAGCCCTTTCTGAGAAAAAATAAACCAACTCGAGAAGAAAAGCCTGTTACTGATATAAAAACATTTGTCTGAATATTCAAATGATAGTTTTAGTTTTGCACCATCTACGTAAAATAAGTTTTATGACGCATAACAAATATAAAACGGTCTAATAAATTGAAATATCTTTGTAAATTACCTGTTTCAATGAGATATTCCATGTTTACTGAAGATTATTAATCCATTACATTAAAGTTGTGAAGCAAAAATAAGCTTTTTACTGTAATAAGCGCTCGACGTGTCCTCAGATTACACAGGCTCAGGCATTGTCTGGCAAACACCAAAACTGGCTACACCTTCACTGCGTGCTTTTACTTTCAGTATTGATGGGAGCTGGTTTGCTCGGTAAATACCAAACTCAACCAGACTAGGTCGTTTAGCAAATCTGTTCTCTCACGAAGGACATATTCTGCGTCCTGTTGACAATTTAGAATTTTCTGAGATGATGGAGATAATGAAATGACACAGTCCGTATTTGCAAATATAGGCTATTTTTACAATTCTTTTTTTAGGATGATCTTTTTTTCTTTATTTTTGAGGTCGTGTCTGTTCCAGCTCTAGTCTTATTCAAATGTGGCCGGCTAATATAAAGTATTTTAAAGCTAAAACATTTGAAAGTATAAAAATACTTTAAAAGAGAATACATGTACTTTTACAGCAAACTGTTGTAAAGAAAAATGTTTTAAGAAATAAAAAATGTTCATGTTTACTGAATTGTCACATAATGTGATTATGTTAAGTCATCATGTGGCCTTCCATTTTATCAACCGTTTTTTTTAATCAACAGTTAATATGAGTACATTTTACAGTAACAAACATGCTCAATCAGGTTGATATATTGATGTATTATAATATATTATATAATTTAAAAGTGAGGAACTCTGTTGTGTTTTTTTAAGAAACTGAAACAAAGCAATTCATGTTGACCCAATTTTATTTATCTTCTAAGCTTGGCACAGGAGTGCACTACCCAGGAGTGGCAGGTATTTTCCATTGTCTGTTGTGTCCAATTTTTTAAGTTTTTTTTAACAGACTGGTTTTATATAATACACCGGTTATGCTTTTGTAAAGTCAATTATTATTTGACTTTCCAAAACGAACCAGCCAAAAAGAAAACAACCATCTGCAAATCCTAAACCAAGTCATTTACAGTGAAATGTGAGAGGACAAAAGGAGGAACTCAAGGATTTTTATGGATTATTATGGACTGGTATTTTGGCCAAAAGTGACGGTTTAAAGTAAAAATTTAATTGAAAAGTTCATTGATGGACTGGAGATGTGTGGATTACTTGTGGATTATTGTTTATTATCAGCTGTTTGGACTCTCATTCTGATGGCACCCATTCACTGTAGATGATCCATTGGTGAGCAAATGATGTAATTATTGACAAATGATGTAATTTCTTCCCATGAAGAAACAAACTCATCTACAGTGGGTATAGAAAAGAATCACCCCTCTTTAAAATGATCACATTTTGTTGTTTTGCAGCGTGAAATGAAAATGGAAACGGAAGATGGAAGATTAAAGTTTTTGTTTTATCCAGCTGTATTTACTCACTGCAACTTATAACATCCAAGTGAAAGATATAATACCAACATGTCAGGAAAAAACAAACAGAATCACCGAGTTGGAAAAAGGATCACCACCTTGTGTCAGTATTTTGTTGAAACACCTTTTTACTTTAAAGGGGTGGTTCACTGTTTTTTTTTTCTAGGCTTGATTGTGTTTATGGGGTGCAGTCTAACACGTGTTAATGCTTCGTTTAAAAAAAACAAACAAACATTTATTTTCCACATAATTTACCTTTATTCCACACAGCTCTGTCCCTTCTCTGAGAAACGCACTGAAAATGTCCTGCTTTTTTGAAGCCACACCCTCAGAAATAGGCGATGGGCTCTGATTGGTTAGCTAGCCCAGTGTGCTGTGATTGGCTAAACCGCCTCTAGTGCGTCTAACCGTCCCGCCCCTCACCTCAGCGGCATGTGCTCC